TGGCAGCCTGTGGGCCAGATACGTCCCACACAGGCCACACCTACCCCAGCTCCACAAAGGCAAAAAACATTCTTGATACATCACGATACTGGCAAGTGATGCGATCGGGTTTGACACCCCTGGGTTTATAGCAAATCAGCCTTCAACCAATCAGTTAACTTTCAAAATTAGGAATCTAAATAAGAGAAAAAAAAACTTTAAAACTTGCAGTTAAAAGGCAAGGCATCCTTAAAAAAACCACAGTTGAAAGATGGAGACTAGACTCCCACCGCTCCTGTCAAGAATTGCAACCTCCAGGATTCCTCTTCCTAGGAGTGTCCAGTCATCTGAAAATTGTCTTGGGTCAATCCTAGCTGCTCCCATTCAATCTAGGAAGCTGGCTACCAAAGAACCCGCTTTGACAGCAAAATCAGCTATTCATCAGTAGGAGGAACAAATCTCCCACACTGCTTAGCATCCATCTTGAAGTGTTTGGATTCTTCCACTAACCCCAAACACTTTAACCTGACTGTCTACTGTTGACCTCACCCCATTCCTAAGAGGTCTGTAAGGGCGTGTATAAGCGCACCAACGTACCTAACCATCCCTGTCTTAATGTTCCCTTTTATTTGTATCTATTTCATGGATTAATAATAATGTTTATAGTTATATATTATCAAATGCATGCTTGACTAAATAAATAAATCTTGGAGAACCATAATAGCCATTTTTTTCTGTTTTTGGTCGAACTATAGCAACATGGAATACTTTATTATTTGATTATAAAGGGGAAAAGTTCTAGACATTTCAAAAAAACTTTCATTTTGGATACATTTTATAGTTTGCATTATGGAACAAATGAAAGATATATTACTCTCCTAGTATTACATCTTGGAGGCCTCAAAGTTTAAATGGGCTGCTTTCCAGCACATAAAGGACTACAGTCTGTTTGTATAGAGAACATGGCTTTTTTTATTTAGCGATTGAAATATTCGGAACCCAAAGAAACCAAGGGTCCATTGCAGTTTAACAATAGGCTCAGTAATTGCATATATTTCTCTTTGTTTTCCAAATGATCGATTGAAACTAAAAGTAGTATCTAGCAGGTAAAGGGCTGTAGTTTTCTCCATAATTATATAGGAACAAACCCTCTTGAACTAAGTAGTATTTTTTCCCAAAAGATTGAGAAAAACTATTTCAGTATTGGATAATTATGCAGAAAATAAATGGCATACCTTTACTTTAAGATTGCCTGAGTCTGAATATAGAAGAGCGTGTTAATAAAAAAAAAATTCTTTATGCTACCAACAGAAATGCTATAAAAGATCACATGATTCAGAAATTTAAAAATTAAATACCCCATAATGCATGCATGATTATTTAAAAGTCGCAAGCAGAAGCAGACATTTCAAAAGATTCTATTACAGTATAGGATTAATATTTAGAGGAGCAATATTTGATTAAGTTCTTCAAATTTCAACTGTAAAACTAAATTCTTGAATATGAATGAGTACATTTTGTTCTTTCAAACGTTCCTTTATACAGTAATTTAGCCCAAGGTGATAATATTTTGGTGTCAGATATGCCAAACTGATCTTCTCTGTTGTTGCAATAATACAGCTAAATAGTATTTTATGCTTAGAGTTTAAAGCAGATGTTTTATCATATCCAAGGTTAATATTAACTTATTGATCAATTCTATTAGTAATGAAATAATTTATTTCACATGTGGCTTAAATATATATTTCTTTTAATTCAAATCTCATTCAAATCTTACATTGTCACTCTAGATCAGGGGTGTCAAACTGCAGCCCATGGGCCACACCCACCCCAGCTCTGTGAAGGGAAAAAAGTCACAATACATCACATGATGGCAGTTTGACACCCGTGTTCTAGATGAATTCTCAGAACCTATAGACATCGCCTCTAACAAATCTTTTTTTTTCCAAAAAGTGTTTTAATTTTTACACATCTCTCTATGTGGGCAACGTGTTTCCAAATTATAACACTTGTACATAATCATACTTTCATTTCCACCAATCTTATATAATATCGTCTCATATCATTATCCATTTCACTTACCACCTATTTTATTTAACATTACACATCATTCTTATCCTTAATTTTCCCTAAGCCAATTATATAATAAACAATCTAAAAAAAGCAAAAATAAAACAAAACCAATACATTTAGGATCCACATGGTATATCCCCTCAATCTATCTAATTTAATAATTCATTCCCCAACTTTAGACATATTAACATTAAATAATCAACTGTATATTTTAAAACATATATATTTTAAGGTATCCCCCCCCCCAAATCGCTAGAATGACTTCCTAATATATCTCATTTCATCTTCACTTTTTTTTAAATCATTAATAATCGTATTTTTTCTTTCTACTTAGCCAAAATTTATATATTTTAATACATTTCACTTTTCTTATAATCATTAATAATCATATTTTTTCTTCCTTACCACTTATCCAAAATTTATCTATATATTTTAATACATTTCCATTCCTATTTGATACTCCAATATAAGGGTTCATAATAGCATAATTCATATAGTTTTATATATATATATAGTTATACAATCCTAAAATAATTTCCATCAAGTTTTAAACTAAATGCCAATATACATTCCCATGTGGTATCCCCCTTGTACAATCCCTAACCCTTCTCTCTAAATCTCATAACTTTATCATTCCTTTTAATTTTGGCTAGGTTTCCCTTTTCTAAATTTCCCCAATCTTTCTTCTTTTTTCCTTCTGGTTTTATTTTTATTTCCCTCTGCCTGTCAGCCATGCTCCCCCCTTTTCCAGTTCTCTTTTTTGGAGTTGTTTCTCCTCCTCCTCCTCCTCCTTGATCTTGGGTGTCTTATCTTTTATTTGCTGTCTCTGTTCTAAGTCCTTTTATGTCTTCTGACAATGGTCCTTGTTCTTCATATTCATCAAGGCTGTTATTTTCTTCTTTTAATTCGTCCTCTCTGAGCTTCCTTTGTTCTTTTGCGAGCTGTGACGCCATTACTTTACTCAGCATTATCTCCACCAGTCTCACTTTTTCTTTAAACATCTCTCTCACAGTTTGGAGATCCGACTTAAATTCTTTGTTTATTTCTTCCATTTCTTTGGTCTATTAAGTTATTCTTTATTTTATTAAAGGTCAAGTTTTTCTGTTATAGTCCTTGTCAAAAGTCTCTGTTTATCTCACTTTCTCTTTCTTCTGTTTTCTTGTCACAATCAACCTCCAACAATCCCAAAGTATTGCATTCTTTTATATTTTATTGTAATCCCTTCTTTTTTATAAGCTTCCAGGGATCTTGTTTATACAACCAATAATTTTCCATAGAAACATGAAAGGAAATCTTTAACCTTTAGGTGGTGCTCTATATCACTTTCTTCTTAGAATTCTTTTATTTTAAATCACTTTTCCGTAGTATTAATATTAAATTGTATCAGTTCCAAGTAAGTCCAGCATTTTATCTAATGCCTGATTAATGTCCAATTCTGTATGTTGTTCCAAATTTAATCTCTAATGCTGTATAATTCTTTTATTTCCGTTTTTTTCTTTACTTTAAGTTTTCCTCTTATTTCTCGTTCGCCGCTACCACTCTTCCAAACGAGGGCTCCTTTCCACTTTTTCAGGGTTTTCAAAAAGAATGTTCAAAGTCTTTTATCCAGTTACACACCGCTCACCACTTTCACTCTCCAGCACAAAACTTGTGTCCCGGCAGCTTCCCGTCTTCAGGGCAGACATTAAAGACTGCCGCTTCTTCCTGTCTTCTAGGAGAGTTTACCAAACCAGGGAGGGGAGGTGCGGCTCCCCGCAACCCAGCTGGTGGTCTCCCCCTCTTCCCCCACCCCTACAAGGTGGGTCATATGGATCTGGTTCTTTAAGGACCCTTCCAACAGGGTAAGCATGGATCAAAGCCGCGCACGATCGCAGTCTCTGATCCGTCGACAAGAATGCCACCAGAAGTTCCCTCTAACAAATCTTTTTATTCATATCAGTATTGAACAATTTATAAACTGACACTACTACAGGGAAACCAGTGGCTAATTCTTGACCCTATCATGCTATTATTGCTAGTGGCCTACAGTATTATTTTTAATACTATATGATGTTACTGATGTAATGGTAGTACTATTACATCAATCCATTACTAGCCAGTTTTCCAATTGGAATTTGTTTAAATACATCAGTTAAAGATTAAATATTTTTATTTTCTCAAGCTTTAGATTAATTTCAGATCTGCAGACCAGCTCCCTCATTTTTCCAATAAATACTGTGAAAAAAATTGTTTTTTTTAAGGTGGTCAGATTCATCAGGAAGAAATTGTAACTCACCATTCTGAAGCAAAACGAAACAAAAAAAAAACCTGTTTTTACAATGGGAAAGATTGTCCCTGCTGGAACTAGAATTCAATTATTTCCAGTTGTGTGTACTGTTGTGAATTTTGTTTTACCTATATGTGTTTACATTCACTAAAAATACACCTGTATAGTTTAACTAAATAACCAAGACCTAGCATATTCATAGTGCCAGCTACAAGATCTAGAAGAAAGTTGGGTATCCCTATTATAGTAGTTGAATATCAATGTACCAATGCACTAAACCTCTTAAATTAAACAGTATTAATGTATACACTAGTATAACATTTAATTAAGTGGAGTTACAAATGGAATGCTTGTTGACTATGATAAATATCTCATATTCCCTGTAGTAGAACATCTGTTCAGTTCCTCACAGTAAATGAATCTGTGCAGTGTTACCAATACAACAATCCAGGGTGGATAAAAATCAATGATTTTTTTTAAAATAAAAAAATGGGATTTTTAAATTTTAAATTTTTTTTTTTTAATTTTTATCAAATTTATTTTAATAAAATGGTTTTGGAGTAAAAATCTACCTAAAGATAGTTTTCTATTTAAGATAAATTAATAATTTAGTTTATTCAGCATGAAATGGAGCTTAGTTATGTAGCATGAGGCTGTATATTCAGCAATATTTACATTTTTTGTAAACTCAATGAATCCAAGCTCTGCAATGCATGGATACATTCACACAATTTCACAGTAACCATGAGATAAATCTTAAAGCAAAGTTCAGGAATATTCCTTTATCCCGTTGTTTTGAAAATCTATGTACACTACAAACTGTATGGTTGTTTGAAGAGAATTGCATCTGTACCACCAGGCTCTTAAGTGTGAGGAGGAAAGGCAAGTGGTAAAAATGAAAGTGAAACCTTCTAAGCAGATTATAAATTAAAGAGCGCCTGTCTTTTCAGATCCATCATGGCAGCGCCTGTTAGTGGGCATCCACTCACCTGCTGCCTGCCATATCCCTCACCTTGTGTCATTGCCGCATCACTAGCCATCCCATTAAAGTGAATGGGACTATTGGTGAATCAACAGTAGGTCAGAGGAGAAGCCGCTGTGGGACAGATATGACAGTTGCTTTTTAAAAATTATGATTTAAATCAAGCTGATTTAAATCAAGCCTTTTTACTAGTGATTTAAAAGACGAATTAAAATCGACTTGATTTAAATGAAATCCACCCTACAACAATCTTTCAAGCATCTCAAGCCATTACATTTGTTTAATGTTAATTCTGCACTGCAAGCAGATTCTATTTGATGTCAAGGCCTATGCCATCTTCAGTGCTATGGTTATACCTAGCATTTGATGCTCAATAAAACATTCCACTCAAATATCAGCCTTTTTGGGTTTTTTCAGCGTATGTCAGGAACTGAAATGCATCATGTCAAGTACAGAACACAGGCCACTATGTACCATTTGTTAACTGATCACATGACAAAAGAACATGGAATATAACTGACTTTTTCATCAGAATTCACTACTCATAAATACCACAAGATCCTACATTCCTACAATTATTAATACAGATGTTGCACCACTATGTATTTCTCTTCTTTCAGATAATTTCATTATTTTAAGAAACACAGTAACTTTGAATAAACATTTAGGGTGAATGTACAGCAAGGTTGTATTTTAAAAAGGTACCTTTGCTTAAAGAAACTTTTACATTGGATAATCAAGCTTAATAGGATTAAAATCCTAAAATTTGAAATATTTACATCATGAATTACTTTATTCATCTATAACATAATTCAAGAAAACATTCTAAAGTTTCAGCATAAGAACACTGATAGAATATTAATCATAAGCAATATAAACAAGCACAATGCACACTGCAGACACAGGGTAGAATAAATATATATTTCAATTGGAATTAGCTCGTGGTTGTGTAGTACTAATTTTCAACTCTGCACATTGGCTACACCCACTATTACCCTTTAATATATCCTCACAAAACAAATGTATACTTCATAAAAATATTCACACTATGAAGAGTCCATATTGAATTTTGCCAGAATACTGAAGAAGCATTTCTCCTCTTAGATTTGCATTTGAAGGTTAATCCATTCTAATTTTCTGGTTGGTCATTCTATAAATGATGCTGTCATAACCTGGATCCATATTCCACAGATTGTAGGAGATAACAATCACAGCTATCACTAATCCAAGCATGATCCACAAAATTATATTGAAGATAACAGCATAGTTAAAGTTGTATGCATATCCTAGGTTATATGGATTTTCTGGCTTGCTCTATAACAAGAACAAAGGAATGAGTAAGCATATACAATAAACCATAAAGAAACACAAGGACTAGTCTAGAAGATTAATTGTAAAACAATGTGCAATTTATTCAGTGTAAGTTTGTTCCTAGTAAGTTATTAAGTATCAGTTGGAAGAATCTTCATCTTAATCCAAATGAGGAATCTACTAAATAATCCCTGACCAGTCTAGCACCTATATGAAAATTTTCAAGGAGGAAATTTACAACTGCTTAGGTAGATTGTTCCACTGGTTAGTAGCTTTTACCCTTACGGAATTCATTCTAATGTTCAGCCTTAATTTCTTTCAATATCAACCTTTTGGTCGTTGTCCTGCCTCTTTAACAGAGAACAGTCTGCACAGTAAAATCTCCATATAATCTTACCTTTTGAAAGTATAATACATCCAGTCCCTCATCTGGGCTAGTTTCCAGACCCCTCAATATCCCCTTAACCCTTCTCCAATTTTTTCAGGCCCTTTTAAAAACAAGCTGCCCCTCATTAGACAAAGGAAAATGTCTGGTCTAAACAGCACAGTTATTTCCTTCTGTGATCTGGATGCAATGTTTCTATAAATGCAGCCCAAGACTGTATTGGTCTTCTAAGCAATTGCAGCACATTGCTTATTCACACTCAACTGGTGGACCACCAGGATTCCTACAGCTTTCTCACATGCACTGCTAAGTGATGAAGTTCCAATGCATCTGATTTTTTTCCTACCCAGATTCAGCTTTATACAGTATTTACCACTGCCGAACACCAGTCTGTTGGATTTAGCCCAGTGTTCAGGCCTATTGAAGTATTTTCAACATAAAAAAACCAAACAACCTTTACAAGCCAGTGAAATTCATGGAATTAAGGGCATGTTTCACCTAATGAAAAATTTCAACAAAAAGTTTGGAAAATAACAGATATGTTTCTATATTTTATAGGTTCATCAGTAATCTGTGATTTTAGATTATTTTTAAATTTGCTTTAAACTTCACAGAAGTAATTTGGAAATCTAGCTACAAAGAATTTCAGTAAATCAAGTGTTTTCCTAATTTATGAGGTTCAAAGAAAAATGCTGTAATTGTTGTCAAATAATTAAGTTACAAAAATAGAAATGATAGACAAATTGAATAATTATTCAACTTTTGCATTATATTACTCTGAGACTCAAAGTGGCTATACTCAAGTGCATTTACAACTATGTTTTTTATTCCAAGACTTATGGCTAAAAAATAAAGAATAAAGCCCAGAGTAAACAGGTTATCATGAATACTCTGCATTTTTCTGTTTAGTTACTCCACTGAAATGCATGAAATTTTCAAATAAAGATTTATTATCCAACTACCAAAAAATTTGCAAGTTTGTATTACCTCTGTGGATTGTAGAATAGATCTGGATTTTCTCACAAAGGGAGTATCAAAAGTCTTCACAGTTACCACTTCTACAACTGCATTCCCACTGTAGATGTTGTACATCTCATCTGCAAACTGAAAAAGCCCAAAATTCAGAATTTGCCAGTTGAAATTAGATACAAATGAGAAAAGGCACACAACTCAAATATTATAATCGAATAGAGTTGGAAGGGACCTTGGAGGTCTTCTAGTCCAACCTCCTGCTCAAACAGGAAACCCTATACCAGGACTGTCCAAGTGGTGACCTGCGGGCCGGATACGTCACACGCAGGCCATGCCCAACCCAGTTCTGTAAAGGCAAAAAATATTGGATACATCACGATCCAGCCTGTGACGCGATCGAGTTTGACATCCATGCCCTATACCATTTTAGACAAATGGCTGTCCAACCTCTTCTTTAAAAGCTGCAGTGATAGAGCACCCACAACTTCACTGATTGATTGTTCTGTCAGGAGATTTCTCTTTAATTCTAGGTGGGTTCTCCCCTCCACAAATGAACAGGACAAAATGGTGGCAACAGTAGAGCCACCACCACTACACAGGTTCAGGACAAACTGCTGCCTTACCAAAGTCTGCACATTGCTGCAGAAACTTTCTGCAACATTGAGAAGCTTCTGTAGCACTATGCAGACCTCTCTAAAGCAGCAGGATGAAGAATTTCTCTAGTGGCCACAAATGGGCAGGACAAAATGATTACATTTGGATTCCTGCCACACAACCCAGGGACAAATGGCCTGCTCTCCTTCCACAACATGAACTCCAGATAGCTTCAGAAGCTAAGTGTGGGACATGATGGGTATGTGGAGAGTAGGCAATGCTGCAGGGTTCCAGAAAGGTGGGATGGGGGAAGGACACTGCAGCAACCTTTTGGTATATCATAAGGGAAAACAACTGCATGCCTGCTGCAATAACTTTGAAATAGGGTCAGATGTAGCTTTTTTTTGGTGGGGGGGGTGTCTGTCATAATTTCAAATGTTTATGTGGCCTGTTGTACCTCAAGGATTACCTGTACTTATGACTGAAGAATGAATTAATACTATATCTTTATTTGGCCAACAACTATAAGCTGAAGAAAATTTTATTTGAAAAGAAAAAAAACCAAACAGGTATCAGCAATAAAGCATTGCATAATCTATTCATACCTGTTTCTATATTCTAAATTAAGAAAAATTACATTATTTACCAGCATTTTTGCTCTACTAACCTTTTGCAGAGAGTCTGCAAGAATCTGAGTAGCATCCTTGAACTGCTGTGAATCTTCCCCATACCTTTTACCTATTTCTTCCAACCCAGAAAGTTCTAGAGAATATAGATCTGGTGAATGATCTTTGGCCAGATGTTTGTGTCTAGAAAGCTTGGGAAGTGATAGATAAAAATAATTACCAGGATATCAAAGTAAAAAGTAGGCATTTCAATTTTAGAAAGCAATATTTTAACTATTTTAAGTAATTGTTTTCTAGAACCTGGGGTGGAAGTTAACGTTAATGGTTGATTTTAATGACAGGTGCACTGGTGCAACATAAGACATGATTCTTTTTGGACAGCCCCCAGAGACAAGACAGAGACCTCTTAGCTGGTAGAAGCAGCTTGCCACATTCTCTGTTGGCTTCCCCACTGACTGTCTGGGAAAGATAGCAAAGATAAATGCAAATGGAATCACATGTTCACAGGGCGCTTGGCAACCGATCATAAGCACAAAACAGGTTGCTAAACACTTAGATCATGGTCACAATACCGTGGTGGGGGAAGGTAGATTTGACATTTTGCATGTGATCAGAAGTGCTCTACAGGACATAAAGCACCCTTTCTCAAGTGGTCATTAATTCAGAACATTAGGGATGGTCATAAGTCAAAGATACCTTTATATACAAAAAGTGAAGAGCTAGAATCATGGCAGCATGACATTCCATTTTAGTGAAAGTGCTGGAATATACTGATACATTTTTTATCCCATATTCTGCTTCTCCAGGAATTTATCAAGAAGTCCAGTTTAGCGATTTTAGTCTCTGTGCTCCCACGCCGAGTTGGAGGGCTCCGAAAGGAGCTAAAGCCACCCTGTGGGGGTGGTGAAGAAAAAAGGGGTGCCTGTAGGTCATGGAGAGCTGCAACTCTTCCGCTCAACTCAGGGCTTCTTCCCTCTCATCCATGATGAGAAGAGGGAGCCATCATGGCTGCCATGAACCTGGGACAGCTGAGGCAACAAAGAAAGTGCAGGAGTGGTGTAGATGGATAGTGACTGGAGCTGGGTGAGAAGATTCCTTTTTTATTTAGACCCTAACTTAAAAAAGGGGGGGAGGGGAGAAAATCCAGAAAAAGAGACTCTTAGAACTGTTTGCTAATGCAGAGAAAAATTCTAGACACGAAAGAAAGAAACTAAGGGGAGAAAAGCTAAAGACTTTTTAAAACATAGAAAATTGGACTTTCAAACTGGGTAGGCGTTGTTTTGGAAAGGCATTTTAAAACACTGGAACTATCTACCTGAATAATTTACTTTGCTTCTATAAATTGAATTAAAATTGGATTAAATAACTTGTTACATTTGAAACAACGCTGAAACCTAAGTTGAGGGCGCCACCTACTGATGAATGGAGGAGCACGGAGAGTTACGGGTGAGCACCGGAGGGTCAGAAGACACACTCAGACATCTCTCGGGAAGTCCTCTTGTGTGGAGGCTGAAGGAGGGGGGTACTGTACCCAGAAAAGCTTGAGCTCTTGCCTGCACAAACAGCGATGAGGCAAACTATGGGGCTTCTAAAGCACTCAGCTCAACCCAATCCAGAGTTCCCATCGGTCCCGTAACAAGCCGGCAGCGAAGGTCAGATTGCCCAGACCAAAAGAACGCTAAGGAAGACAGGATCCTAATAACCAGCCTGTTTGTGCGGGAGAGAGCTTGAGCTTTTCTGGGCTCGACACCCTTCCCTACAGCCTCCACACAAGAGGATTCCCCAAGAGACGTTGGAGTGTGACTTCTGACCCTCTGGCACTTGCCTGCAACTCTCTGTGCTCTTCCAAGCCCAGCTTGCTAAGTAGGGGGAGCAGCCCTGACGTCTCTGCTGTCCCCCCATGGCCCTAGCCATCGCTCCCCAGGGAAGGCACAGGAAAAGAAAGCGAGCAGGAACATTAACTCTCGCTGGGGCGAAAGAGCGGAGATTGGGGAAGGCACAGGCAACAGAAAGTGACACTTTTCAAAGGCGTCAGCTTGTGTCTTCTGTTGCCTGTGCCTTCCTCATCTCAGCTCTTTCACCCCAGTGAGAGCTATGTTTCTGCTCACTTTTCCTGTGCCTTCCCCAGGCAGCGATGGCTGGGGCCATGCGGGGGGGGGGGGGGAGGCAGCAGAGCACCGAGAGGGATGAAAAAACTGACACAGACGCTGATGCCCCATTCCGGACCTACAGCCATTGAGGAAAAGTCCAGGCCAAGAGAGACGAGCTGGAAGGTGTGGGAGTGCCACACAAATGCAAGTAGCATGGTGCTCCTGCACCTTCCAGCCATCTCCATTGCCGCTTCAACCCGCCTGTGCCACCAGTCCCCTCTTGCTGCAACAGCACCATTACCTTATCCTGGCTGGCGAGGGCTGCACAGCTTTTTGCATATTGTTCCACCCGCAAATTTGCACATTACAGGTGCCACCCCCTATGGTGGAGATTTCCAACCCCAACACAGGCCGGTCTCATATTCCAGAGCTGCAGTAGTCACAAGACTGGCCCTTTGGTCATCCCAGAGCAACTCATCCATGGCAGGCCGGTGTCCAGGCGAGTCCTGTAACTAATGCAGCTCTGGAATATGGGACTGACTTTCCCACCAAAGTCAGCAAGCCATTGTCAGTCAAAATTCGTAATAATGGTCTGCGGGATTTGAAATTATGAGTTTGGTGGTCCCTGAGGTCCAAAAGGTTGGCGATCCCTGCTCTAGAGGCCTGGCAGCATAGGAGGATAGAGATGGGAGAAATGTTTAGACTGAACAGTGAAGACACAGATGTAGATAGAGATAAGAATCCAAGAGAGGAGTATGGGAGGAAGCTAAAAATGAATAAGAATTGAAGTATTAAAATGGATAGAAATTTTTAATTGAGCCTTGGTGACGCAGTGGTTAGAGTGCAGTACTGCAGGCTACTTCTGCTGTCTACAATTTGGCAGTTCAAATCTTACCAGGCTCAAGGTTGACTCAGTCTCTCATCCTTCGGAGGTGGGTAAAATGAGGACCCAAAATTATTGGGGGCAATATGGTAACTATGTAAACCACTTAGAGAGGGCTGTAAAGCGGTATATAAGTCTAAGTGCTATTTATTTATTTATTTAATTTTATTTATATTGCCGCCTATTTGCCCATGGAGACTCGAGGCAGCTTACAGAATATAAAACCATATTTAAAACAATAAAAACTAACAAAAATAATCAAATAAATTAATAAAGTACAATATAACACAATCCCCCCCCCCCACAACTCCCACTCCCTACCCTGATGACAGCAGATCACACGAGCCATTTAATGGGCTTCATCCCACTCTCGGTTCCCCAGGCTCGCTGGCAGAACCAGGTCTTTAGCACCTTCTGGAAGAGTATTAGAGTGAAGGCCATTCTAATCTCTGGGGGAATAATGTTTTCCCTGCTATTGCTATAATGATGGCTTGATTAAAAACTAGAATAGAGGCAGAAATAAGAATACACATTCTTTTATCAAGTTATAGCTAGATGGAAAAAATAGAGATTGAAATATGGTATTATTAAGTATGTTTAAACAATATGGTGATTGGAATGAGAATGGCACATTGAAGCATTGAATAATTAAATAATGAAGCATTACATCTTAATATAAACATGTGTGTTAACACTAGGATTAGTCGTGGTGGCCTGACTAGAAGCCAGAATAGAGGTAGAAATAAAAAATAAGGGGAATATTAGCACACATATTTTTATATAATAGAATAAAAGTAATAACTAGAGGGAAAGATTAGGTTGAAAGATGGCATTACTATGTAAGCTCAAATATCATTGTGACTGGCATTAAAATGGAACATTGAAATATTGAATAACTACAGGGGTGGGATTCTACTGGTTCAGACCAGTTTGAGCATTTGGCCCCGCCCACCTGCCCCTGCTGTTTCCTGTACTTTATTTCCTGTTTTTTTTTTTAGCACAGCTGATTCTTGTGGCTGAGTGGTTTGCCACACATCAGCTGTTTTACTAACAGGGGATGCAGCAGAGGGTAATTGAGTTGAAAATTGGGTTTTTTAAATATAGAGCACCAGTGCGAAGCATGCTGTCACCGAACAGATTGTTACACCGGTTAAATTGCACCACTGAATAACTACTTTAAAACAAACATGTATATTAATATTAGGATTACATAAGTTTGATTAATGTACTATTAATATTTTTATTGCCACTTGTCCCAAAATGAATGATACCCAGATGTTACACTGTTCATGTATTGATGTTGATGCCACCCCACACACAAAAAGGAGGAAAAAGTAGTTCAGTTTAGCCAGTAAATGGGCGTTGGTAAATTTACCTGAGAACGGCCTTTCTATCTATGCTTTTAGAGAGCCCAGGATGGGTTAGACTCCTCCTGAGGACATCATCAAGCCGAGTCTGTCTTGTATAAATGGAGCAGCCTGTGGGAGTGTCCCCAGCTTTGGCGAAGGTACTTGACAGACTTTAGTGAGTGTCTCTGAAAGCCAAAGAGAATCTTGAACAATAACATATCTTACCATAGTCCGGACGAAACAAGGGAGGGGCTGGGCTCTCTAGCAGCATAGATAGAAAGGGCATTCTCAGGTAAATTTACCAACACCCATTCTCCTCCATGCTGCTGTGAGAGCCCAGGATGGGACATACCAAAGCCTGCATGTCCTTGGGAGGGTCTTCGTCCGATTAATCACTCTGAAATTGGAACCACTCACTGAAGTACCTGTCTGCCGAAGGCTGCACTCGTTGAGGCATAGGAGTCCAGATGGTAGTGTCTGGATGTCCATATAGCCGCTCTGCAAATCTCTTCTAGGGGTGCCTGGGTGGCCCAGGCAGCTGAAGTCGCAGCACTTCTAGTAGAGTGTGCTGTTAGGCCCTGGGGCACCATGAGGGCTCTGGCTTTGTAGCCCTGTGTGATGCACGCCCTGATCCACCTACTTAAGGTGGGAGGTGAGGCCTTATTTCCCCGGTGGGAAGGGGAAAAAGACACAAACATGGCCTCTGTCTTTCTAAATGTCGAAGTGCGTTTGATGTAAATTCTAAGCGCCCTTCTAACATTTAGGGTGTGCCACTTGCGCTCTAGGTCGTGGTGCGGAAGGGGACAGAAATCAGGTAACACTATGTCCTGGGATCTATGGAACACGGTATTAATCTCAGGTACAAAGGTAGGGTCTAGACGGAGAACAACTCTATTGTTGCCTTATTCAGAGAGCAGCCAACTCTGACACCCTTCTAGCTGATGAAGAAAAGAAAATGAAGAAAACCACCTTCAGGGTTAAGAATTGAAGGGAAACCTTTCTGAGGGGTTCGAACGGAGGTTCTGTTAGAGCCTGGAGTACCTTGAGAAGGTCTCAGGATGGAAACCTGTGTACCACAGGAGGGCAGAGGTTGGAAGCCCCTTTTAGAAATCTCTGTACTGAAGGGTGGTGAGACAAGGAAGGAAATGTGTCCCAGGAGAGGACTGAGGAAAGAGCCTCTACCTGATGGCGTAAGGTGTTAGATGCGAGACCCTTCTCTAGGCCGTCTTGAAGGAAACGGAGGACATCTGCTACCTCAGCTAATGTTGGAGTGAGACCCTCTTTTTGACACCAATGACAAAAAAACTTCTAGGTGGCATCGTAGATGGTTTAAGAGACACCTGGACAGTAAGGATGACCCTTTCTGGGAGATTAGCCTCTCTTAACAGTTGCTGCTCAATCGACACACAGTCACTTTGAACCACGGGGGATCCGGGTGCAGCAGGGCTCCCTGATGAAGGGAGATCTTGTGGTCTGGGATCCTCCAGGGAGTGGCTATTAACAGGTTCACCAGGTCTGCAAACCAGGGTCTCCTGGGCCAATGGGGGCCAGGAGAATCAGCTCTGCCCATTCCTCCAACATCTTCCAAATGACTGCCGGAATGATGGGAAGAGGGGGAAAGGCATAGAGGAGACCAGTGGGCCATCTGCTCCAAAGTACATTGGTCCCCTCCGCTCCCTGACAAGAAAACCTGATGAAGAACCTGTTTACTTGAGCATTTTGGGGAGAGGCGAAGAGGTCTACCTTCAGGGTCCCAAACCTGAGGGAGATCCCTGAATAAGGACTGGGGAAGAGACCATTCTGCATGGTCGACTAGGCTCCTGCTCAGCCAATCAGCTTGGAAGTTGTCGATTTCTGAGATGTGGTCTGCTGTGATAGACATCAGGTGTCTCTCCGCCCACTGCCCCAACCGTTCGGCTTCCTTCATAAGGGCCCTGGATCTTGTTCCCCCTTGCCTGTTGACGTGCGCCTTTGTGGCCATAATGTCCGTCAACACTAGCACATGGTATCCAGCTATCTTGTCCCTGAAATGTTTCAGTGCTAGATATATGGCTCTGAGTTCAAGCCAGTCTATAGGGCCGGTCCTGTCCATCCGGGACCAAATCCCTTGAGCTATGTGCCCTTCCATGTGGGCCCCAAAACCCAGGAGACTTGCATCGGTGGTGATGAGCAGTCTGTCCAGTTCCTTGAACAGGAGTCCCTTCCAAAGGGCCAGGAAGAGCCACTTTAAGGAGCGACGGGTCTGTGGAGCGACGGGTCTGTGGACCCTGGCAGATGTGTGGCTGGTTCCTGCTCGTTGAAAGAGGAGCAGGAACCATTGTAGAGCTCAGGAGTGTAGCTGTGCCCACAGAATGATGCCGATGCATGAGATCACTTTCCCTAATAGTTTGGACAACAGTGACAGGGAGATAGTGTGTTGATGCTGAACCTGTTGAATGATCTCGGTAAGGTTCTTCCCTCAATCTGGAGACAGAAAAACTTGGCACAGAGTTGTTTCGATGACAGCCCCCAGGTGGAGCAATCTGGTTGTGGGGAAGAGATGGCTCTTCCTGGAGTTGATGGAAAAGTCATGGTACTGAAGACAATAGAGTGTGATTTGTAGATCTCGATGGGCGGAGAGGGTGGAGGACAACAGTATCAAAATGTCATCCAAGTAACATTGAATCCTTACTGGAACAGACCGGAGCAAAGCCACCAATGCCGCCAGTATCTTTGTGAAGACTCTTGGAGCCGATGAGAGCTCAAAGGAAAGGGCTCGATACTGGTAGTGAGAATTCTGGTATCAGAAACGGAGAAACTGGCAATGATGAGGCCAGATGGGAATGTGGAGGTAAGCCTTTGTGAGATCAATGGAAGAGAGAAGACCGCCCTCACGAATGGTCTCTAAAATAGAATGCAGAGTCTGCATTTTAAAGTGCCTGTATGGGATAAACTCATTCAGCAGAGGCTTGATGGTTATGCTTAATGTTTGTTCGGAGCACTTGTCTTCTGCCTTTAGTACGTCCTCAGGCTCAGTTGGAGTGCCCAAGGAGAAGGAAGCCACGACTGGGGCATCTACCAAGGGAACTGAAAGAGCAGTAGCTAGGGAAGGGCCCACGTTGTAAAACTGCCTATCATGGGATGATGGGCAGGGGCCTGCAGTTGGGGAGGCAAATTGCTCCTTGACTAAGTCCAGAAAAATGATGGGGGATGGAAGGACCTCCGAGTGAACAATGGGTTTGGAGAAGAGGGAATCCCCATGCCCCGATTGCACCACTTGAGGTTCGAGGACAGCTTCCTCCGAGGACAACTGGGCTGTGACCAGTGCCTTGTGGAGGAGGGGTTTAAATAAGGCAGGTTTGAATACTGCGGCTGAGGGAGATTGATTGGGTCTCAGATCCTCCCCTTCCTCTGAGAGGTTGGGGTTCCAGATTTCTCCCTCTTCCTCTTCAGATGCAGGGGAGGGGCTATGCTCAGATGGTTCTGCGTAGTCTCTCTGTTCGAAATAATCCCATTCTGCATGGGTAGGAGGGGCCCTGTGCTCCACAAGGTGAGGTAGTCCCCTTTTGGGGATCTGGGCCTGAGAGTAGGCCGGAAAAGTGGGCTGGGATCTGTCTGAAGGCCTAAAGATGTGTTGAAGTCCTTCTGCAAAGCCCTGTCTGAAGGCTATGGAGACTACATCGTGGATGTCAGAGGGCCTGCCACTCGATGGAGGATCTGGGGGCCTGCCACTGTTGGGGTAAAAGTAGCCTCTGCTCTAGGTCGAGAGCTACTTTGGGCTATAGATGGCAGAGAAGAGAGGTCCCAAGGAGCCTGTATGAAGTTGGGGCCCGATCTGCTCAAGTCTTGAGGCTGAATTGGTCCTCAAGCCTCTCTGGGGACCAGGACTGGAGGTGGCTAACAGGGGCTGGAGTTTCCCCCACCCCCCTGGAAGTACCTGCCTGAACCACCAGAGGATTGGCTGGCTGGGAAGCCTGCTGCAGTTGTCCCCTCATTTGCTCAATAGTCTTATTGAACTGCCTCTCCAAGGCCGCATGTCTTCATTTCTCTGCTTTTAGTTTGGCCTGGGATGTTTTCTTGGGGCCCAAGTCTTTGGCCCTGATCTTGGCCGTTACCTCCCTTTGAACAGATTGAGAGCATTGTCTCCTTTTTCTTTTGGCAGTCTGGAGGTCTTGGGTGTCCAGGCCCGAAAGCTCTGCGTGGATCTTGTCTTGATCCATAGTTGGCATAAGCAAACACAAGAGGTGCTGGAAGCGACCCTTGCTATGTGTTGCCTATGCAGTAACCTTAATTAGGGCCCTTTTGGGGGACAGGAGCAGGCCGTTGGTAGATGAAGCCACCTAAAATGGCCGCTCGCCACGTGCGTTGGAAGAGGTAGCTTTCAAAATGGTCTCTCGCATGAATTGCAGGCTACAATGGCTGTTAGTCGCTCCCTAGGTTGGAAACAGGCCCGAGCAGCGAAATCAGCTAGAAAGGGAAAATCACGGCTTTTTCAATCAGCTGTGAGGCATGGTTATCGCCAATACGATCTTTACTATCGCGGCGGCCGAAATCGCAGAGAGCTGTAGGGGAGGGCCAAGGGCTTTTCCCTTACTTATAGTCTCCCTTGGATTGAAAACGTTGAATCCTCGGCGTTGCAGGAGAGCTGTTGAAGGCACAGCTGCACCGGGTCCCTGGGAGCTGTGCCAATGATTTAAGATCGCTGTTTGACTTTTGCTGCTGACTAAAACTGCTTTCAAAGACACCAGCTCATCGAAAGAAGCTGAGTCAAAGCTGGGGACACTCCCACAGGCTGCTCCTTTTAATACAAGACAGACTCAGTTTGATGATGTCATCAGGAGGAGTTTAACCCATCCTGGGCTCTCACAGCAGCATGGAGGAGAACTACACATTCTCTGTTCTTTCTAATTTAAAATGTTTTAAACCAGCTGAAGAATTACACAGTCAGAAAATACCCAGTCAACCACATAGTAGAATTTTGTTTGCAGAATTTGCTTACCAAGCTTGTGATGTCATGCAAAACTTGCAATTCTGACAGGTAGAGGAGATCAACCTATGAAATAAACATGTAGACATAAAAACAAGCAAAACAAAAAGATGAATTGAAAAATCATTTCAATTTATAATAAAAATACTCAAAATCAATTCTGATATTAATTTAGCATGCATAACATATGCAGGACTTAACCATACATTATCTTAACAAATGAATCACTTAATTAAAATTGAAATAAAGTAATAAATACTCCATGCCCTGAAACAGATCTTATCTAGAATATAGATTTGACAAAATGGGACTCTATAACATACATAACATCAATTTAAAATAGTTGCCAAAAAAGACAATATGAATGAGTTTTACCTTACCTCATTGTTTCTGCTTAAGGAGTTGAGGGGAAGGAAAGCAAGAATGGAGTTATCCTGGAAAAGTCTATTCCGAAGCTGCCGCAGTGTGACAGAAAGATCTTCGAATACAGAATTTGCTTTTCCCACCATATAAACTCTCTGAAAGAACCATCATTATGCGTTATAATCTTGCACTGTGATAAGAGTCTTCAACTAACTCTTTCCTAATATTGAAAATTCAAAGAAAAATCTCTACTGAAAAGCATTTAAAGGTCATAATTTAATTTTTGATGCTTTTTTTTAAAAAAAAACTTACTTCTTCACTAGGAGCTAATTGAACAACTACTGGCGTTTCCTCAGAAAATAAAGTATGTATTGAATTTGCAACCCCATCCAGGCTGAAGGGAACTGCCTAAAATAAAAGAAATGATAGTAAATTGAAATCTGTAGAAAACAGGAAAATAACTTTCAGCATATACACTGCTCAAAAAAATAAAGGGAACACTTAAACAACACAATGTAACTCCAAGTCAATCACACTTCTGTGAAATCAAACTGTCCACTTAGGTAGCAACACTGATTGACAATCAATTTCACATGCTGTTGTGCAAATGGAATAGACAACAGGTGGAAAGCATAGGCAGTTAGCAAGACATCCCCAATGTGTGGTTCTGCAGGTGGTGACCAGAGACCACTTCTCAGTTCCTATGCTTTCTGGCTGATGGTGTGGTCACTTTTGAATGCTGGCAGCGCTTTCACTCTAGTGGTAGCATGAGACGGAGTCTACAACCCACACAAGTGGCTCAGGTAGTGCAGCTCATCCAGGATGGCACATCAATGCGAGCTTTGGCAAGAAGTTTTGCTGTGTCTGTCAACGTAGTGTCCAGAGCATGGAGGTGCTACCAGGAGACAGGCCAGTACATCAGGAGATGTGGAGGAGGCTGTAGGAGGGCAACAACCCAGCATCAGGACCGCTACCTCCACCCTTGTGCAAGGAGGGACAGGAGGAGCATTGCCAGAGTCCTGCAAAATGACCTCCAGCGGGCCACAAATGTGCATGTGGCTGCTCAAACGGTCAGAAACAGACTCCATTAGGGTGGTATGAGGGCCCGACGTCCATAGGTGGGGGTTGGGCTTACAGCCCAACACCGTGCAGGACATTTGGCATTTGCCAGAAAACACCAAGATTGGCACATTCGCCACTGGCGCCCTGTGCTCTTCACAGTTGAAAGCAGGTTCACACTGAGCACATGTGAAAGGCGCGACAGGGTCTGGAGACGCCGTGGAGAACCTTCTGCTGCCTGCAACATCCTCCAGAATGACCGGTTTGGCAGTGGGTCAGTAATGGTGTGGGGTGGCATATCTTTAGGGGGCTGCACAGCCCTCCATGTGTTCGCCAGAGGTAACCTGACTGCCATTAGGTACCGAGATGAGATCCTCAGACCCCTTGTGAGACCATATGCTAGTGCGGTTGGCCCTGGGTTCCTCCTAATGCATGACAATGCTAGACCTCATGTGGCTGGAGTGTGTCAGCAGTTCCTGCAAGACGAAGGCCCAGCTCTTTCGCTTGACAGGCGGGCACGCACCCGCAGCTCGCTTTCCCGGCTCTGCCCAGCCCACATGGCTCTGGCGTGGCCCTGGCGGGATGAGCGGAGGGCCCGGTGGGGAGGCGCTCGCTGCTTGGCGAGAGCTCTGCCGCCGGGCAGGAGGGCCCGCCTGTCAGCTGCGCTGGGCGCCCCAGGTAAAGCTCTTCGTGCTCTGCCCGGCGGCAGGCAGGGATGGTGGCTGGGCGCTTCTCCCGGGGTGGGCCGATCCTGTGCTGCAGCCCCGGGAGATTCACCTCCCCACGTGGGGTTGGGCTGCCCTCTCGTGCAGGGGAGACTTTGTCGTACCAGTAGTAGGGCGTCGTTTTTAAAAGAATTGGCTTTGCCTTCGAAGGTGAAGGGAAGGCAGTGACAGGAGCGCCTGAAGCCGAGTGTCTCCGCCGGGCTTCAGTTGTAGGGAGGAGCCCTGGCTGGCTGCACCAAACGCCGTGGCGTTGCTCTAAACAGCGCGGCAGCATGGGGAGAAGGAAAAGCAATGGTGGTGGAAGGTCTCCCAATACGAAGTGCCCCACCAACGCCGAGATCAACATCCATCCGTCGCTGCCTGCTCACCCGAGGATGCAAGGGGGGAATTAAGTCACCCTCAAAAAGACAGCCTAGCCATTTTTTCTGGGGTCAAAAAAAAAAATAAGGCCCGGCCTTATTTTGTGAGAAACACGGTAGTTTCCTCATTGACTCTGCTTGTCACAAAAGGGGATCATATGACTCCAGGACACTGTGATCATCATAAATGTGAGTCAACTGTCAAGCATCTGAATGTAAACCCCGTGACCATGGGAATACTTCAATGATGTGAAAAAGTGTGAAAAATGGTCCTGACTCCTAAGTCACTTTTTCAGTGCCTTGTATCTTCGAACAGTCATTAAAGGAACTGTTCTAAGTCAAGGACTACCTGTAGTGTCCCAAGGAAAACAAAAAATGACATGAAATATATTTATGAAGACTTTTAATTGCATGTTACTAGCTTTCCCCAAAATAAGCATGTAGTTCTAAAAAGTAATGGGTTACTAGAATGCATAAACTTGTAATTATCTGAAGGAGAGTAAACATTAGTTATATTTTCATTAGGGCTATCTTAGGATCTTTTAAGATTAGCCAAACATTTCTTTCATGGGAAATAATGAAGATTTCAGAATCTTCAAGCAACTTATTTTGAAGAAACTGAAGAACACGTAACAATGAGAAATAATGCATATTCAAATAAGGTAATCCAAATTAAGGTGTACAGCACTAGCATTCATATTAAAATGGATACAAATTATAGAAAAATCATGCCCAAATTATATAAGCCACTGTTTTTATGAAGCTTTACTTTCTAACTGTATATAGATCTTTCCATATAAGAGGTAATTATTATTAGATAATCTAAAAATACCTGTTTTAAAGGAAGAAAGTGAAACTATACTCAAATAAAAATGTATTATTTAAATTGGCCTTAGCTTGTATATATCTCCTGTCTAATGTTTTTTCTTTCATTTATTGCAGTGTTAATCAGTAGAGAACTTTCCAAATGTTCTGAACTACAGTTTTTATCCTCCCCTCCCACTAAGTAAGTTTTCTGGGGTTCCTGGAAACTGCAAAACATCTGGGGGGCCCTAGGTTGTCTCACCTCAATTTATTATATTTCCATGTGCCAGGTTGATTTTTTACTTCAGTATATACATTTCCTATATTCCTCCCAGTACGTGAATAGTTTATTCATGGGGGGAGAAAAAGCAAAAATATGTTAATCATTAAGAAAAAAATTACTTTCCACTACAGCTGATGATATAAAGAGAAAGGAAAAAGTTCTGTATTTTCTCCAGCACAGATGGAAACATCTATATCATTTTCATACAGAGATTCTAGAAAGAACTGCTGTATAAATTTACTGAAATACAAATATTTTAAATGTTCCAAGAAAAAAAAAATGTATCTTCTATATGACTACCAAAATTTACATTCTGTATCTGTACACCAACTCATAACAAAAGCATGCAGTCTCAAAGCCATACTTTCCCATTCTCCGTATATAGAAGTTTAGCTACTAATACACTGGAATCTATAATGTACTTACATTTTCAATCGGGTAAGATATTCCATTCTTAGGCATTGTTAGCTTGTCTATCCCCATTATAGTAACAAGAACAGTAGCTCGCGGACGCCGAAAGAGATCACCTACTGCTAACCCAGGCCAAGAGAGATCCTGTAACAATGCAATTTTTCTTTTATAAAACATTTTATATTTTTAAAAAAATATTTTATGTGAATTTATGTATAACTTAATATGGGGCATTAGAAACTGTATCAATGAATTCATTACACTATTTAAATGAAAATAACAAATGCAATACTAACAATTCACTATTTTGGTAAACATGTTGGACATAATTATAAATAAATCTATAGCCCGATTTTGAATTCCCCTAGATAGTGCCGGAACACAGATCTGCAACAGTTTTTAAAAAAGGTAAGGAATACTGTGGCTGAAGAAATATACAGTAACGAGTCACATACTTCCTCAATAGAGAAGCCCATGGATAAGGCTGCCACATCTGGGATCCGTTCTCCAGGAATTGGCCAATTTCCTTCTTGAAATATAACAGATTCAGGAGTTCTTAATACACTGAATTCATTGGCAGAAACAACTGAAATAAGAATGCAGTATGATAAAATCATTTCCACAAACATATAAGGCAGAACAAGTAGTCCTCAACTTACAACCATTTATTTAGTGACCATCTGAAATTGTAACAGCACTGAAAAAAGTGATTTAAGACTGGTCATGGTCATGTGATCAAAATTCGGATTCTTGGCAACTGGTTCATATTTATTATGTTGCAGTGTCCTGAGGTCATCTGATCACCTTTTGCAAACTTTTGACAAACAAAATCAATGGGGAAGCCAGATAACTTTATAACTGTGTTACTAACTTAACAACTACAGTAATTTATTTAATAACTGTGGCAATAAAAGTCGTAAAATGAGGCAAAACTCACTTGTCTTGCTTAGTAACAGAAATTTTGGGCTCAATTGTGGTCATAAATTAAGGATTACCTGTACATAAGTTCATTCAACTCAGGCTACGGGGGTTGATAGCACTTGAATACAGTGCCAGTAAAAGAATAATACCTATAGGAAATTTTTTATTTATTTTATATCTGCGTACATTTAAACTATTTGAGAGAACAATGACAATTGCTATTCCCACCCAGATTTCAAAATGCTACTACAGCATTCTGATACAGGAAAAGACAAGATGTCGGATTACAGTAAATATGTTATGATTTTAAATAATCTATGGACAAGATGTTCCTGAAACCTGTGCTAAAGTAGCAGAATGCACCCATATTTGTAAACATACTGAATGACCAGCTATCAAGTGGTTTCTACATCAGGCACTTCAAGAAAGGATCCATGGCTGAGTATATAATTTATTATATAATTTTTAAAAACAATTTCAGATTTACTCTAAAGCATTTCCATTAAGTTCATTAGAAAATATCATTGGCCACAACCGTTTTAATCCTCTGCAAAAGATTAGGATAGACAAAATATAGAGAATCTTCTAATATTTGTTCAAGAATTTTAATTCTGTGTTGGCAATTTAAAGGCTAATTTACATACTTCAATGGGCAAGATTTGGCCCAAATCTCAGTTTTCTTATTCCTGTTAACCTGCTGTGAAGGAAACAGATCCTCCTTTGGAATCCCACACACAAACCTGCAGTTAGTATAATTTAGTTCTTGTAATTTTGACCATGTTAACCTTGGAGGGAGGTCAAAACTACATCCAAGGCTGTATTAAACAGAATACGTATTGACAATAAACACACAGGATTCTATAATACTAATTTACACCAACAGTACAGTATCAGTAAATATTGGCTAACTAGTATGTCATTTGAATTTGTAATGTAGGACAAAGGATCCATTTCAGAGTGTCCACAAAAAATTAGATAGTTTGCTATAATGATTAAGGTACTATGGTGGCTAGAAACCGGGAGACTGAGTTCCAGTCCCATTTTACACTCTTAAAAGAAGCTTGCTGAACTATTTTAAGCGTTCAGAAAAAGTAATCACACATTATCCACATTTAATCTGTTAACTTAAAACATTGTCCTCTAGCGTAGTAAAAACAAAAGCTGGGAAATAGATAAGTCTATGTGGTTTCAAAGATGAAGCAGCAGTTAAGGACAAACCAACAGCATCTAGTTTCATCTGAACAAAACAAGTCACCATGACATACAGATCAGTTTATTGACAATAATTAAATCCAATGCCAAATCTGCTCAACAATTGCTTAATTTAAAACAGCAAAGTAATCCCACTATAACATCCGTCGCCGCCATAACAGCCGCCTTCCTTAGCCAGGCCTTCCAGTAGGAGCCACAATTCCCATCATCCCCTGCCATCAATTCTAAAGATGACAACTCAGAAAAACGGTCTCCTTCGGCTATCGGCCTCCGAGTTTTCACTATCCTCCGGGCCTCCCCTTAAATATTCTGGGACGCTTCGAATTGCTACAGCCCGCCCTCGCCTTCTCACCGGTTCCCGTGACTGACAGGAAGCTCTCCGGACCACGCTCAGTCGCCCCCGGAAAGGCTGACCTTTCCGCCTTTCAGCTTTCGTCTTTGCCCGAAGGGCGACTAGAGCGGGCTGAGCTTCGCCAGTTCCGCTGAAAACAACCCTGGAACCTTACCTGCCAGAAGCACTGAGGCGACCCACAACACTCCCCTCCGAGACGCCATCACCTTCTCGTCTGCCCCAACCGCCGTTCCAGTCAGGGCCAAGAAAAAGCATCCGGCGTCCAGAAGCGGATGTCCCGCCTTTCGTCGTAATTGACCTCATTATCAACCACTCAGAAATCTTATATCATGAAGGCGGCTGAAAAAAGATGTGGTCACTTTCTGAACAGCAAGCGGGTGTTGGCACTATAGTGCTGGTGAAAATCCTACCATCGCGGCGACTTCACGCTGTCATGCGAATGAGGGAGGAGATTTAGCTCGAGTGATTGACGGCTTGGCCATTCACGACAAAGAAGGGGTCTTTCAGAAAAGCTCAATAAATTCCAAAGGAAAAGAGAATCACAGGACACTGTCGGACCATGAAGTTCGTGTACATCGACAGGAAATACTGCAAGCATCTGGGAACAGGAAGGAAAAGCGGGACCCGTGCAATCTAGTGACGAGGCATCGGGCAGTCTCCCAGACCTAAATTTTTGCGGAAGACAGGCTGAGATAGCCGGAATATCTTTGGGTCAAATTGACAAAGAAACTAGCCAACAATCTGGACAAGCCGCTACAGCGTTCTGATTGACTGTAGGGCTGGAGGGGAATGAAGGGAGGTCGAGTGACAGACAGACAGCTGATAGTTGACACATTTGCACGAAGCGCTTATGAAAGAGGATTTCTTAACCAGCCTTTGCCAAATTTGCCAATAAATACAAGTAAGAGTCAATTTGGGCTAGTGCTTGGCATCAGGCTAGAAACAGGGAGATCGTCAAGAAAGCCAGGGTAATCTTTGCATACGAGGGAGAATCACGAGGCTGAGCAAGTTGGCCTGGTACCTCACTTTTGTCAGTTTATGCACGCCTGGAATGAGGAAACCAGTCATACTTAATAGGAGAAGCCATAGGGGGAGTTCTGTGAACAACAATTGGTACTTGCAGGATGGAACATGTGAATTTGCAGTTCTGCCAAGTGTTATTGCAGTAGAGAAATGCCATCAAAATCCCATTGGTTGCACTCCAGCAATATCTTAAGCTGCTTATTCACTCCCTTTTCTGAATTTCTACAATTCAGTATATTGTAACAGCCAAATGGGCTGGGTTTACCTAGCAAACAAGCAAACAAAAATAGTTTAAACTAGCTACACTAGCTAAGATTAGCATGTTGGAAGAAATGTCCACCTGGGTTCAGTTCTAAGTGGGAAGAAAGACACTGGAGACATAGAGGCTGATTTGAAAGATGGTTTAATGGTGAAGCAGAATCACCAAGCACATGTGATTCTGGGTAGCTGACCACATGGAGTGGAGAGTGAATGTTATTTATACCCTCTGTTGGGCTTTGAACTTGCTTCCTGTTCTTGTGGCAAGAAATGTATCCTGATTGGTTGTCAGACTCCCATGGGCCCATGCAGGGGTAATATTTTAGGTTGTCTGTGTGCTAAGTTTGGCTGAAACATACTGGGTGATTCAATGAAGGGCAATCAAATCGCTCTGCCTGAAGGAGGTAGAACTTTGTTATGTAGAATAGACTGGCCCAGGCCTTAATGGCCCATTAACAAAGGAGGGGACTGAGTTTCTGCTTCTCTGAGTTTTTACTTCTCTTCTAGGGGAAATATTCTGCCTTTTTAATATATCCTAAAATATTTCATTTTTCTAGGAGAGAGGTGGGTTTTAACTTTCAACAATTCCCCCTCTTTTTACCAAAACATTTTTCTGGCAAAAAATTAAAAATTGATCTGATCAGGGAGACTTGATGGGTGCTTTTTAGTTTTTCTGATGCAAAGGTGAAGACATTGATAAGAGGCAACAGAAAAGGATTCCTTCAGTGGCTCGGTCCCAAAAGCTTTCAACCATGAAGGTCTAGCAGCCAGGGGAAAAGTTCTGGAAAGAAATTTACAGTATCCCATTTTCTATGCCAATTATTTTCAGATGTTTGATGCACTTTCTGTGAGCTTACAGTCAGGTTTCAAGCAAGCACAAGTCCAAAATTCTTCACAGCCATGGTTTTCCTTTAAATTACAGGCTGCCCATTTCCAAGGGATGGTTACTAAACATGTCCTAGCTCTTAGTTTTGTAAGGTCAAATTGAGGTTAGCCATTGTGCAATCGAGGCTATTTTTAAAATTACACACAATGAGCCTTGGGATTCAGGAGAAAAACACACAAAAAAGGAAACCAGGAGCAGCTTTGTGTGGAAGTAGTTGAATTAGTCCTCTGTCTAATTTTAAATGGTGTGTCTCTCTGTGTGCACGCATGTGTATGCAGCTACTTTCACAATACAGACAAGATAAACATGCTGGACAAATTTTCCTCCCACCAGACAGAAGTCCAAGGTGTTCAGAACTTGCTGTGGCAACCACTCTCAAATACAATCCTTACATGAATACATTAAACTGATTACAATATAAATGAGACAAGAAAGAAAACATTACAATGAATTTCCACCCTCCCCCATAGTCTTTCTAGCTGTCTTCTGGGGATTGAAAAAGTCTTCACTGGTCCATCTCAGTATCCTCTCCTTCATGTCTCTGGGTGGCATTAGGCTTGGCCTGATGGTGTGGCTGGTCAGCCAGCTTGGCAAGGTTTGCTTCATGTTGTAGAGTCATCTGTAAGAGCAATGGTAAAAGCAGGATTTGTTGTAACCTTTCAGGGAGATAAATGTTTAATTGAAAAACAGGGTAAAAGTATTACTGCAAGATTGGATAATGGTTTGTTTATTATACATGATAATCCATTAATTAATGCTAACTCAGTCTATGAGAATAAAAAGCCTCATGATGAATCTGCTCCATAGACGTATGGGACATATAAATTTTAAAATGCTAAAGAAAACTGTTGAGTTATCTAATGGTATCAAATTAAAACCTTGTACAAAGTATTTAAATTGCAATGTTTGCAATCAAGAAAAAAGCAAGGTAACTCCTGCAAATAGGGTAAATTGATTCAAAACCAGTGAACCATTAGAGGTTGTTTTTGCTGATATTGTTGGACCTAAGAAACCTAGTTTAGGTGGAGCCTGTTACATATTAAGTATAATTGATCATTTTTCCAGATATGGTTTCTGTTATTTAATGAAAACGAAGACAGAAACATACCACCATTTTGTAAACTGGCTAAAATTTGCTGAAAGGAAAAAGAAACAGAAAGTTATTAGCTTAGTAACAGATAATGGTACTGAATTTACCAATAGAAAATTTGAAGCCATGTTACAGAAAGCTGTCATTGAACATAAGTGTTCTGCTCCTTATAGACCACAACATAATTCATATATTGAATGTAGAGGACAAACATTACAGGCTATGGCTAGGACTATGATTTCGGATTCTGGTTTATCAGAGAAACTTTGGGGTGAAGCAATAATGTGTGCTAACTATGTTTTGAATAATGCAGTGAATTCAATGACTGGTGAATTACCATTTACTCGTTGGAATGGGAAAAAGCCAGATCTCAGTTATTTACATACATTTGGACCCCCAGCATGGGTTCATATTCCCATGCAAGTAAGGCAAAAGGGATAACATAGAGCGAGACAATTATATTTTGTAGGTTATGAAGCTTATCATAGATCATTTAGATTTTGGGAGCCAGGTACTACTAGTGTATATTGCAGTGCAAGTGCTAAATTTCTGGAGCATGTTGGCTGGGGAAAGCTTGAACAGGAATATAATAAGGTACAGGATAGTGTTGTTGTTGAGACTCCATTGTTTACCGATAATTCTTATGATAATATTGATGATAAGATAGTGGAGGAATCCTCAATGGAGGAATCATCAATAGAAGAACCCTCTATGACTGTAGAAGACGAGGATTTGATAGGGGAGGTAAAGGAAGAGGACATGCCAACAACATGTACTGAGTTGCCTAGGAGGTCAACTAGGGAGAGGCGTCCACCTGACAGATTTCAAGCAAGCATTGTATGTCAGGTTAATACAGAACTTTCTAACTTCAATGAAATAAAACTGTATCCTACAAAGGATCAGGTAGCTTGGCAGGAAGCTATGAATAGGGAGTTAAAATCGTTAAAGGATTTAGAGGTGTATGGGGATGTAAAGTTACCACCAGGTGAGCGTGCAATAGGTTGCAAATGGGTGTATAAGATAAAGACTGGTGTGGATGGGACTATTACCCATAAAGCAAGATTAGTTGCTCAAGGATTTGCTCAGTCAGATAAGGACTATGATGAAGTGTTTGCACCTAGTCTGAGAGCAAATACATTGAGAGCAGCGTTAGTTTGGGAAGCTAAGAATAAATGTAAAATAAACCATGTAGATATTGAAACTGCATATCTACATGCACCTTTACAACATCTATATGAAAAAGCCATTAGGTTTAAAGGATGATGGAAAAACTGATTATTGGAAATTAAAGAAAAGTCTTTATGGTCTAAAGCAATCCAGTTATGAATGGAATAAATGTATTGTAAAGGAATTAGTTTTAATAGGTTTTGAAGCTGGTATAGTTGATCCTTGTTTATTCCGAAGAGAAAAAATGGTTTAATTTCTCTATTACTGTTATTTACAGATGACATAGCAATTATAATTAAAACTGAACAAGAAGCAAATGTTATTGTTTATAGATTACAGAAAAAGCTCAGGATTAGAAATTTAGGGGAAATTAAGCATTATTAAAGTCTTGATATAGTGAAGACGAATAAAGGTTTTAAAATTTCGCAAGCCAAGAAGATTAGCCAATTATTAAAATGTTATAACAAGGAGCATTGTAAATCTGCTAAGACACCAATGAGTAAGGAATTTACACATAGTGATATTAAAAGTCCTATGTTTGGTAAGGAAATATATCAATCCTTAATCGGTAGTCTATCATATCTGAGTAATTGGTCTAGTTCAGATATATCTTACAGTGTAAACCAATTGGCTAGATATAACACTGAACCAAATGAAAGACATTGGCAAGCAGCTAAGTGAATAATTAGGTTTTTAAAACACACAATCCATTATTCATTATATTTAGAACCAAGTAATGAATTAGTGTTAACTGCATATGCTGATGCAAGTTTTGCTACTGATATAATGACTCGTAAGTCAACATCAGGTATAGTGGTAATGTTGGGTAATGCTTTAATAGGATGGAAGT